CTGCTAGCATATACAGTTTATAAGAATGTAAAAGAACGAGGACAACTGTCGGAATTACAAAATATCAATGTACCCAATAGGCCCATGTTTTAATCGTATTATTAATAATTACCAGGAACTGATGGCTGAGAAACCACGTGCCAAACACCGGATGATTTATCTTTCTTTTCTGCAGAGTCTGGAAACAAAAAATAATAGATGAGAACATTTTAAAATAGATGATCCTCATCAAAATTGCTGGTTCACATAATCTGCACTCAAGTCACAAAGAAGCCTAAGGCCCTGTTTACATGGAGCTAGGTTGACCCTAGCAGAAGGGTTACCCTAGCAAGCGGGTCAGAAAAAAGCGAGCGTTTACATGAGGTAGGGTGACCCTACTGCTAGGGCTATGTTGCCCGGTAGGGTGACCCTACTTATGCGTGGTCGCTAAGCCCGTAAGCCGTCTATTTTCGAAAAATGGCGCCGAAACACAACGTTTTGGTGGCAAGTTGTATGATGCTACGTATCTCGTGCTCATTTGCTTACTACATTTCAATGTTGTCGTCTGTTACATTTTGTGTTATTGTACCAGAGAAGACTACAGCAGCAACTAGCAGTCCAAGCAGTAAATGAGCGCAATACTGCTTTATATTCTCTGAGACATGTAGGAAGACGTTCTTGTTAGACGTCGTCGAAGATTTTGGCCTATTCCTGGCAGAACTGAGCAGTGGTGGCTAAACCTCTTTGACGAAATCTTGCCTATCTCGCGTGGGTTTATCTGTTCACACAAGGCTTGTGGACCAACTCGCATGGGTCCTATGCTGCCATGCACGAACGAAGCTCCGTGCAAAGGCTCTGTAAGTCGGCTTCGAAGTCAATTCCGTTGAACTCGCATTGCGTCTTAACTCTTTTACATAGCGCAAACGTTTTTCAACAAGTTCGGCCGACCAAGACCATTTTTTCGGTTCTTTTGCCGTCGACGATGAGGATGCGTCTGTATTTTGTTTCCGTTTCTCTGCTTTTCACTTTGTTGTCGAAACGGCATCATATTCAGCGCATTCGCAGCGTTATCGAGCAAAAGGAACTCTTCATTATTTACATGTACCTCTGGTACTACTTCCTTGGATTGCTATCAGTTTTATTCTTCTGATGTCTTTTAAAATACTCGGCTAGCTGATACAACGCCATCCTCGCCTGTCTGACAGTCATGGTAGAATGAATATAATAACTTTACCCGCTTGGTAGGGTAGCACTACCTGACGCATTTACATGGCTTGTGTAAACAAAAAGATAGCTTTACTACTAGGGTTGCCCTATATGTTTGATAGGGTAACCCTATCCCTAGGGCAATCCTAGCGCGCATGTAAACACTTCCTATAAAACATATTGAAGTAGGGTAACCCGCTTGCTCGGGTAACCCTTCTGCTAGGGTCAACCTAGCTCCATGTAAACAGGGCCTAAGAAGGAGTTGCCTTAATCAACTAGCCAAGAGCAGGGCTGCAAATTACAGTCGGCACAAATTACAGTCGGCAAAAATTACAGTCGGCTAAATTTGGCAAATGTCCGAGCAAAAGTAATTTTGATCAGACATTCGTCCGATACATGAAAAAATTGTCACATACATATTTTTTTGTGACAAAATCCGATTGCAAATTCACTCATTTTGCATTTTGCAATAAAATTTACGAGGCGTTCTAGCATTTACTTTTACTTAACGTTGCGCCGGAATGGCATACATACTTGTCTCGTGACTTATATATATCTTGTGACTTATATATATCTTGTGACGTATATATGTCCGACCAAATTTAGTGATGTTGGTTTTTGTCCAACCAAATTCAAGTTATGTCCAACCAAAATTAAAAGTGATCAGACAAATGTCCTGTCAAGTCAAATATTTATTGCAGCCCTGCAAGAGCATCCCCTGAACAAATAAAATTGTCTGGCTTTGGACAAAATAATACTGTCCTAAAGATGGAACATAGCAATGGTAGGATCCGACAATGACTTGTATGATATAAAGAAATTCCACAAAAATCTATATGTTTGATAGACTTGATATAGAAATTCCACAATGAGTATATACAGTACACACACTTAATCAAGTGTCTTTCAAAGCAAGGCCTAACAGAGTGCATTAGTGCACAATTAAATATCACCAAAGAGTGTATCAATGCACAATTAATTAAATATTTTAACCCACTGACACCTAATTCTCTTTGACCAGGTAAATGTTAATCGTCTGGCACTGCAGATTGCAGCTTAAGACAAGTATAGAAATACCTTCACCATCTTCGTCAGAATTGTCTGCTTTATCATCATCATTTTCTTCCAATTTATCCCTAAAAACAAATGAAGCAGAGCTCATTTTGAATCCCCCAGAGATGTTCAGACCAGTTGTCTGAATATTTTTTTAGAATTCTTCAGACCATATACAGTAGTACTTTAAAATAAGCACTGTAAAGTCTGTTCTGGGCATCAGTTCTGCTCACAACAAAGGGGGCCGCACAAATATAAACATTGCCCAAATTTTGCATCTTTCAACTTTGTAGATGTAGAGTTTATATTCACATACAAGAATAGCAAACCAGAAAAGTGTTATAAGTATTCAGTTAGTATATCATATTTTAGAAATATAGCAGTTCAAAATGCAAACAAAGCATGTTTACATAACAGATTTTACAGATATTTAAAGATTTTTAAGGAAAAGAAAAATAGCAGTCAAACAGGATTTTTTCAGATTTTCACTAATCCATACGAGGTATTTCTCCCTAAATTGCTTCTAATGTCACTTTTCAACAATATTGTTTCTGGTAGTCTTTATCCATTTAGTCCACACAATCTTTCATTCATGACACAGCTTGACCTGACCAGATGATTGAAGCAATTAAAAATGCATTCAAGTGTTTTTCACAGACAGTAAGTGTCCACATAAAAATCTATTTACTATGGATACAGGATATTTTAATTAACTAAAGGAAAAATAGATAGGATATGGGATTAGATTTTTATGTTTTAGGCCACTATTTGTTGTATATTAGTTTCTCATCCCCGCCCGCATGCTTTTTAAGAAAATTGTCTTGTTCGCCATTATTGCCATTATTGACCATTATTACAAATTTTGTGATGTCTTCAAAATTATATTTGAAAGAAAGACATGCAATTAGAAACGTTCCCAAACCAAAAGTTTTAGTTAAGATACGAAATCTCATACCAATTGCAAAACTGCCAGTTTCTCTCACATTTACGTAAAAGTTCTACCGAAAGCCAGGGGCAGGGAAAAAAACGCGAGACGACTAGGCTACAAAATTATTTCTCTATTCTGTGATTATTTCACATGTGGCCATGTTTTTAAG